TGCCTGCGTCTCCGGAGATGAGGCTTGGCTACCTCCGGGCTTTTATTTATTTCTCTTAGTGAAAAAACTAAGGCTGTGGTGAATAAATAAAAATGCAAAGAAAGGCGAAGGTGCCGCCTGGCCAAAATTTTCTAAAGTGATTTTTGAAAGAAAGGAAGGCTTCCAGTAGGGAGAAACCCACCTGGGCTCTCACTGGGTTAAAATTGAATGATTTTTGTCTTGCAATCTGAGGAGTGACCTTTGCCACGTTCAGACAAGAGGGAAGCAAATTTTGAGTGCAGAAAAAGATGAGCCCCGCCGCTTAGCACAGATCTGTGCATTAACAGCTTACAAGATTAAATACTGAGCAAAGAGCTACTGAGGTGCAACAGTGGAAAGCTGCACATCATATGTCTTAGGGCATTAGGGGAGACTTAAAGCTGGGTTGCAAGACTGGGAACTGGACCAGTTGAGGCGGTGACACACGCCACCATGCCCTGGACCAGCAGCGGGAGCAGAGCAGCCGGGCTGCAGGATTGCTCTCTGGGAAGGGTTCTGGGTCAGACAAGGCGTGATTTGATGAGGCTCTTTCTCTTTTGAAGCCTGCATACAGGGTATTAAATTATGGGACTGGATCTGCTTGCGGTTGGAGCAGGGGGAAGGTGCATTTGCTGACTGATACACCAGGGCTAGTGGAGAGCTGATCATAGCAAACAAATCTGGTAGTGATCTCTGTTATCATTTTTATCTTGCTGGGTGAGAATAGTGCAGTGGCGTTTCACTTAAAGACATTTGATGCAGTGTCATATAGAGAGATACAATGAAAATAAAAATCTTGTCCTGGATAAACCCTGTAACCCCTCAAAATACCCCAAACCCACCAAGTGCTAAACAAATTAATATCCGCCCCTGTGTAGAGCCACCATTACCAACTCCACCTGCAGACGAGGAGTGCTTCTCGTGTTCTGCAGCCATTGATACCCAGGCCTTTTCTGCGTAACTTTCGTTAGTGAATTTAAGGAGGTTGAGTCTTTTCCCTGTGTATTTTTAAGCTGAGGTGAATTCAAAGGGCCAAAGAACTGGCGTTAGGTGAGGATCAAGGCTGCCCGGTGTTCGGAAAGGGTGAGAACATCTTGTTATCCTCAGTGAGGTGGTAAAGGTGTATATCTGGAGTAGGACTGGCAACTGGAACAAGTGCCTAACAGGAGGTGGCTGCTTGGAAGGTTTAGAGTTAAAAATACCAAACAAAAATCCACTGGGGTGAGAGCAGACTGAATAAGAGATTGTGGTGCAACATCACTGTATCAGAAATAAGCCAGTGCTTTCCTCGCCTCGGTTTTACAGAGGAATCAAAGGCAGAAATGAAAGGCTGTAATGCTGCTTTGCAGAGGAAAGGATTTTTGCCTTCAGTTCTGATCCTGCCATTATGGAAGGATACTGAAACCATCGAGGGGCTCAGCAGTGCGCAATTAGAGCAACAGTGGGATGGGAGGATGTGACAGTTGAGCAGATGAGACTGGAGATCAACATTTGTATGATCTTGGGGAAAAAAAGGAGATTAAATTAGGGTTGCCATGAAAATGCTTTCCTACGAATTATATTCTTCAGGAAAAAAAAACAAAAAGGCTTATGCACATTATTTGCATTCGATGAAATGAGGATCTGAAGTGGCATTTGAAAAATCACACTAGACAATAGGGGAAAATGTCTTTGTTGGAGTGTTTGGGCCTTGGAGCAGAGCAACGAGGTGGTGTTGGAGGTATTGAGAGAAGGCTGAGACGCCGCACTGAGGAGAGCACGGTGCAAGAAACGCAGAAGGTTTGTGCTAACTTGGCCGCGTGTGACAGAGATCTATTTGGTGTCCTTGCCGTAAAGGGGAGAAGCCTCTTCCTTTGCAGAGGTGCTCAGCGCCTCTCTGACTTAATTTTAGCAGGAACTGTGAGTG